TACGGGTGCACGGTGTAAACTAATCAAACGCCCCGAGACCCTTTGCATCAACCACTGCAGGCAGCGGAGTGTAGCGCAGCTGCCTCGCTAACCGGGAGATCGCAACGCAGCACGTCGAAGCGTTCTACAACAGGCGCCACATAGAGGCCTCTGTAAATGCCCCACATTAATCCCAAGTAAGCTATTTATGGTCGCCTTAGGTCCTTACCACAACGATGACGTCGTCGGTGACCGCACGGTGGCGAGCACCACTGAGGCCCCGTGGAACTTGCCTCACCACTGTCGTTCCCTCGTTCTCGCAGTCTCCTCGCAATCGCCATCCTTCATCCTTCGCTTTCGCTCTTATGCCTCAATCACACAGCCATAAATGCTCCTTCGCGTCCCCGTCATGACAACACTTCCCGTCCGGAGAAATGATCTCTGAATTGTTGTCCCCTCGAAAACGGGGTTGATGATGACGCGTAGCTGTTCTTTGTGTTTCCGTCACCGTTGTGATGACGGAGCCCCGCCCCTCTAAAAGGACCAATCAGATATCTTTACTGATTGCTATACCAGCACGTGTTTTATAACCACGTACTTCATCGGCAAACTTCGCGCGGCCGTCGTTTTTCCCGCTTGTGAAGCCATAACAGTGTCATAAAGCCGCTAAACATAACGAAATCTAATATCTGGTTGTCATGGTAACCGACTTGACGAAAATGCCTTCCTTAAATTTGGTTCATCACAATAATAACAATGTCGTGTTCATAGTGTATACTGTACTCATAAACATTGTATTCTATGTTAACGTAGGTGTTACACGGCAGATGAATTTCGTTAACGTGTTTGATGCGAAATGCTCATTTCGCTTCTCTGGGTTTATGCACCCACGGAAACAATCAGCTCACACTGCACAAAAGCGCGCTACTGTTGACGTCATTGTCGTTGTCGCCAGCTATGAAGCGTTTTTTTTGACGTGACCGGGACGTGGTGGAGCGTTCGGCAGCTGTGTGAATGACGTTGTCCTAACTCACTCTGCCGTTGACGCCGATTCCACTTAGTGCATCAACGATTATGCATCAGCTGCCCTCCAAAATGTAAAAGGGTTCTAATCCTTGAGATAGATGTAGGGTATAGGTACTTGCGCGTCGCAGTTCATGCTATCGATTTCCACGGACACTCAATGTTTAGCGAGTGGCCACCTGTCACAGAACGAGCGCTCAAAAAGAGTGCGCTGCCAACTCCTCGCGAGGAAACGCCGGAGTGACGCCGCGAGGTCAACGATAAAAAAAAGGAAAACAAACATCCAGACTCCCCAGCCGCGACTACCTCCCTCGGAAACGTAGATTCGCCGACGAACCTCCTCACCCCGCAATGGCGGCCGAGCAAGCCCTCGAACTTTCTAGACGCCGACGAACCTCCTCACCCCACAACGGCGGCCGAGCAAGCACTCGAACTTTCTAGATGGAAAGGCGCGTGGTTGAAGCCGGGTTGAGTCATCTGTCGCGGCCAGCATTCGAACCATCTCGCCCTCTCCCCAACCTTCGCTGCGTATCGCGCCGGCTAAATGACGAGAACCTTCTGGAATCTCGCGCGGAGGGTAATTAATCGAGCAGCCGAGGTGAAAGATCAGGAGAAGACGGAAGTTAGTGCCAGAGTGGGTAGGTTGATTGATTGATTGATATGTGGGGTTTAACGTCCCAAAACCAGCCAGAGTGCGTAGGGATTCCGCCGTGTAGTCGGCGAAGGTTTTGTCCGTAGGGACAAAGCAGGAGATGAAGAGGATTTACACCTGAGGGGTGAAGGCTCGAGCTACAGGCAAGAGCGTGTGCCCACCGCTATCGAGCGAAGACGCGTGGCAACAGCTGCGTATGTGAAGCCGACGTGTTTCCGGCGAAGAAGTTTGAAGCTTGGAGAGTGACTAATTGAAGACGTGAGGTTTCCTGGAAGAGAAACTTCGGCGAGGTTTCCTGGAAGAGAAACTTCGAGGGCAGCGGAACGACAACAATGCTGGACTTTGAGTGAGTGATTCTCGGAAGAGTATCACCCAGACTTTTGTTCCAAGAACTTTGGACGGAATGGGGTTCCTATCTCTTTAGTCTTTAAGTGTCTTGGTTGTTCAATGCACGCGACTGCATTGTAGTGCGTATCGTTGTCTGTGTCCGTTGTTTCGAGTGTGGCTGATTGTACTGTGTAGTACGTTGTTTGTTTGGTGATATATTGTACTCAACTATTGTGAAGAGTGCATACTTGTGTATTTTTTTGATCTGCCATTATTGAGAATATAATTCTGTTTTGTTTATCAACTCTCGGCTCTGACTTGTTCTTTGGGCCACAGCCGGCGTCCGCTGGCGCGCCAAAAAGAACCACTTCTAAATTGTCCACACTTTCGTGTTGCGGTTCGGGGGCCCGATACTTCGGCCCTTGGAATTAGCCCGGTGATCGCCTCCCTAATTAACGGGGCCTGTGCGACCCCATCCTGACGGATTTCTTCGGTTTGGTTGCCAGGCGCTGCAGAATTCCCAGAGATAACGCAAATGGGAACGTGCAGCTCTGCTCTGCCCCGCGAGAGTCGGGAACGATTGCTTCTGCTTAAAAAAAAAACAATTCATCTTTTCAATGAACTCCTTCATTTAGGTCTGATTATTTGCCATTACGTTATTTGATGTCTTCCTATCACATGTTTCGAATTATTCTGTTCAGTCACAATCAGCTATTTTAATGCGGTCAAACCTTTTAATTGGGAAATCTTGCGCATTTTTTATTTTATTTTTGCTGAAGAAGCACTTTACAAAAGCAAAGGATCAAGCAGATTTAAAATGACGCAAGCAAAAGCACTGTGTTTAAAAGATGAAAGAACAAGCTCTCTGTGACAGGGCTTGATTTTTCGCAATCTTCTATGTGCGTGTTTGTGCCCTTTTATGGAGTGATCCTTCGAAAAACATGGCTGCAACACTAAAACTTCAGTACACATTAAGGCTGCAAAGGCCTGCCTTAAAGTGTGAAACTGTACAATTCTAAAGGCTGGATTCTGATTGGTTGCTTCTAGGTTGTTTTTATAGGCTCTAGCTAGGTGATCCCGGGCTGTCAGTGCGCTGATGATAAACGGAAAGAGGTTCAAGGTAAAGCGCAGACTATCACAGACAAGATACAGGGACGCCGTTGTTGACGTTGGCCCTGAATCAATTCAGCGTTTTCTGACAGCCACTGTTGCCTCTGCGGTTCCCTAGCATTCTCTCCTTGTACTCACTCGAGATCTCCGGCTCGCCATCGTCTCTTCACAGGCATTTGTTTGTTTGTTAGTAGCCTAGAATCCATGGCTCATACCCACTCTGGGGCAGGCCAAGAAAACATATGGTCTCATATGGACGATAACTGCACTACTGCTTACAGTAACAAGAAAAAAGTAGAAAGAAAACAGTATAGTAAAAGTACAAAGATTAAGAGAGAGAGGGAGAGTAAAAATAGGAAGAAAGGAACACTAATATATTCTGTACCTTCATTTTGGGAACCGACCAGACAGCTCAGTTTGCCAAACCCATATACTTTGGTATGTATGTCTCAGATTTAAACACATTGCGGAAATTACTTCTCGACCCACTTTTTTTAGTCTTTGTTGAGCCAACTGTTGTCTTTTTCACCGTCAGTGAAAGTTCTGTGTATTTGGATTTACCCCATCTCTGTGGCGTTGACCCGTTTTCGGCGATGATGACATCTCTTGAAGGCGTGTGAATTTGTGTGGCGCACACCAGTTTGATGGACTAACTGTTGATTCGCTCATCTTTAGCAAGGCAGTGGTGAACTGTACGCTGTATATGGAGCGTGTACCCTGCTGTAAACAGGATTTCGTTTCATTACTGGGCGAAAAAAATAAAATGTTCACTTTAACAGCGTCGCACAGCATATAAATACGTACACCATCGTGGTGCCTGGTTGCACGAGCGAATACAAACACATCGCAGGGGTTGACGTTGGCGGTTTATTTTATCTTGGCCCCTAGTCGAGCCACCCCCTTTTACGGCTCCAAGAGACCATCGAAGTTGATAGAATAAGTCAAGAACTGTCAGCTCTCTTTTTGTTGGCCATTCACAAAAAGAATTGTGCTTCCCATGGGTAGACAGTAAAAACCTTATCGTGGGAGCGTTCGTTTGCTGGGGCTGGGATGTCTCAAATGTTTTTCATATTTCTTTCATGCCTAATGAATTGCATTCAAATAAGTTGTTAGTGAGCGGTGAGAATGTGTTGTTTTTCTTTTTGGTTTTTCGTCCCGTCTCAGTGCGCCGTGCTTAATATATACCAATTGGCTCGCAAATAAACAGTGTCGCCCTTTTAGGCGCAAGTGCGCAAGACCCGTTAGACAAGATTGGTCAAGTTAGCGTCATGAAATACGTTAAATACATAGGAGGCGCGTGCTAATAGTCCTCCAGAATAATATAAAAACAATCGCTTGCGTATCACCCACTTTTGGGAGCTAAAAGTCATCGTAACGTTCTCTAAAGGGACACTAAGGGCAACTATGCATGCGACGTTGATTGTCGTAGTTCGAAAACATCGTTGTGTTAATTTTATACCGAGTAAGTGCTCACCTTGAGGTAAAGTCACGTTCTAGTATTCCGCATTGCCTCGGCACACTCCTACTGACCGGCGTGAAAGCGGGCTATTAGACGTCACTGTTTTTGGGCCCATTTTTGCCCACGCTTACGACTTTGCCCGTGTATATTCTCGCGCTGTTAAACCTCAAGTGTGCTAAACCAACTAGTACAATCAGCCACTTTGTTAAATTACAACGAGGCCGCAGGCACCAGTAGAAGCCGAGCGAAAGTTGCGGCAGACGCGGAGGCAACAACGGCCATTGTACAATTTTCTGCCATCTTAAAACTCAGGGATTTGCTTTTTTTTTTTGGTTTAAGTAGACCCCGCTAGATGGCGTCACCTACCCAGCTTATCCAGCTGAAAACAGAAGAGTCAGTTGTTTCTCTTTTTATTTAGCTCTTTATTAAGCCTCTTGATGCGCGAAAAAGTATTTGTGTATTGTATCAAGTTTGACTACTAGCGATTAATTGTAGTCGGACACTATCACCTCGTCGCGATAATTTCAAAAATGTTCCACTCGTGGTATACGTTATATAATACATTTAGCTTAATTTTTTTGGCAAGTAAGGCACTGCTGTTGATAATATGATCGTTTCAAACTTTGTCATACATTTAACTTTCACTCTGACTTAAATGGCCATTTGCCTTTATGTGTCTCTTTAACACAGAAAAAGTGGCTGATTGTAGGCATTGACGCCCCAACAGCAAAAGCAATAACTTTCTGTTTTATCAGCAGAAAGATTTTAGAGTTCAAGGATTCCAACGTTTCAGCTGCTGAGAATGGGTACTTATCTAATGCAAAATCAAAAGCAGCCAACAGAAATTTCTATGCACGTATTAGGCAGGAAAATTAAGTTTATATCTGAAAACCCTAATAATGTTCCCTGGCTATGCGTATGTTTCACGGGCATTTACTTGTTTGGTGTATTCTGTAATCACTCTCATGACTCTGAAGCCCTCAAGGCTGAACTTTTCAAATAAAAAAGCTTAGGTGACGATGTTTCACAGTTCGACAAAGCGGAACCTCGCTGGTCTTTCGGGTTTAGCGGTGAATTGCGTAAGAAATCCGATGTCACCATGGTGATTTTCCACTCGGTAACGCTTGAGTACCTGCAGAAGAGAAGAAAGTTTAGGGGAAATATCAGTTAGGAAACATTTTGAACCCATGGATAACCCATACAATTTCGGAACTCAAAATAACGAAAAGTAAGATGCTCAGAAAACTCGTTTCTTTACTAGACACAACCGAAGGAACAGAGCAGGCATTAACGCAATGCGTTTACACAAGAGGTATACATTAATGTGCTGATGTTAACCATATCTCATAATGGTTCATTTAGAAGTGTCTGTATTCACCGGGTTTCAAACACGACAAAGAAAACAGCTTGTCTTGTCGATGTTCAGGTTATCTCTATAGGGCCTAGAGACCGTTCAATCTTTGCAAAAAACCTGATCATGGGAAGCAGTAAAGAGTTCTTCTAAAAGAAGAACTAATAACTTCAGTGTAAGTGTCATCTTACCTCTTCCATATGGTGCTGCTATTGACGTTACATGGGCAGAGGTGCACAGAGGTCCTGTTAATTAGTTTTCATAATTACCAACTTTTCTTGCAGCCTCCTCCAACCCCGTTGGAATGGTCGAAAGCAAAACGGAAGGAAGCTTCGCAATGGCATACAGAATTGAAAATGAGGTGATGACCTCGCCGTCTCAACGGCTTGCGCTTGGTCCCCAGCATACCGGGGGTGCAATATGCAAAAAGTAAACAGTTTTTGCAAAACAGCAGGGTTCTCAGATGCAATAAGGAACAAAAACCTGCATGAAACGGCGAGAGGCACTCTGCCCTTCTTTCTTTGCCGTGCACATGCACACGGAGAAAAGTGGATGATGCATGCAATAACGGCTGAATGACCACAGTAACAAGGCTAATAAAACGTCACTATATAGATTTCTTTCAGTGCTGTGCTGAGAATGCTGATAAAAGTTCCCTTTTTGATGAAGACTTGGCATTAGGTGAAAGCAGGTAGAAGGTAACGGTCTAACAAATGAAAATCAGCAGTTTTTTTTGACAGACAGACAATGGATAGATAGATGTAGATGAACAGACAGACAGACAAATATACATACATACATACATACATACATACATACATACATACATACATACATACATACATACATACATACATACATACATACATACATAATACATACATACATACATACATACATACATACATACATACATACATACATACATACTGATAGACAGACAGACAGACAGACAGATAGATAGACAGATATATAGATAGATAAAATAATGAACCGACCGATAAAAGATGGACATGTATATATTCAGGTGAACGGACAGAAGGGAGGGCGGACAAACGCATGGACCGACAGATTCATGCATGGAAGCACGGACGGAATAATGGAAGGGCTAGCGAGCGAGGTCACGTGACTTTAGCGCCAGGCCTCTAGTGACATATCACTCCAGGATCTTCTAGGCCTCCTCCGGTGCTCCAGCTGTGCACCGCGTGCGTATGACGTCGCTACTCCTCCAGCAGGCGCTGCACAGCTGTCGATAGGCCACGCGGGACTGCTTAACTTTGGTCAGTGTTCCTTACGCTAGAAAACAGCTACCTGGGCCATTCTCACAGATCAAGTCATATTCCCCATTCAGGCTCTGGGTTTTTTTTTATTTATTTAATACTGTAAGCCTTTCTCAGGCTCATACAGGGTGGGCAGGCGGTAGAAAAGCAGAAAGGTAAGGCAGGCGTTGTGGATTCACAGAAACCTGTCCAGAAGCATGAAGGAAATGGCGATGATTTAATAAAACTTCGTGGTTACTCATTCACTTCTGTCATTTCAGTATATTATCCCTATAGCGTCGTAAACTACAGCCATTACTCCGACATTACAGAGCATTGTCCGAACCACCACAATTGCAGTGACTTAAACCACAAGCGCTCAAAGTGCCCCTATTTACAAGAAAATATCAAGAATTTTCCGAAAATGCCTTTCATTTCATGCTCACGAGTTTGGTCCTCATTGAAAAACTCAAGGCTGCCAGAAGTCCCCCGATGCGGCGGTGAGGCTAGGCCTTCCTATCCTTACATAGAAGCGTCCCGCGATCTTACCCCTATAAAACGGGGGTGGAATCTTTAAGGACCGCAATAAAGTTTTTCATCCATTCATTCATATCCCTCAGTGCCAGGCACCTCTCACAGTTTGTTAATATGCATAGAGTATTTCAGGGAATGTTACATTCCCATGCACTCAAATTCACTGAACTCTCACTTGAGTAAACGTCGAAGAACCCGAGGAAATTTGTAAACTCAAATGTGGACAATGTTTTTTACCTTGAAAAGAATTTGCGAATTTTGATTCCGACTGGTGAGCTGACAGAGCAAGGAGAGGAAACTCCGTCCACAAAGTCTACATTTGTGGGCACTGCCTTTGGGTAGCTTCTCGCTGAGACGTGTAGAGTTCCAACCTTCAATTTTATGCTACATCCTCTGCTAGAGATACAATTCGAAACTGCATCAACAATTACGAACTCTTCGTTGAACTCATCAGCTCTCGGTGTCGGAGAACCTGTAAGAACAGCTTGAGAACCTACCAGTTCTGCTCAAATATTTCAGCTCACGAAGTTCGTTCTTGTATTGCGTGCGGCCACTTTGACTAGACGGCACTGCATGCACAAGAGATGTTGCACCGCCACCGATGAATCGGCGATTTGGGGGTGACACGTATGGGCTACGCCAGTGCTGCAGGTTGTAAGCACTTCATTTATTGATAAAAAAAATTAAGCCGGGGTCTCAAGATCAAGTTCGTTCAACTGAAATGCTCCTGTAATTACAATTCTTATTTGCACGAAACGTGTAAGAAAACCACTCAAAATTTTCTACAAGATTGCTATTCTGAACTATTTGTTAAATCATCATTCGTACAAATGACAGCTTACTGTATTTGTTTTGTGTAGCTGGACACTTCTGTGTTTCAGTAGTTTAATGTGTTGTGGAACACTACGGGAAGCATCAATGGAGTCCACAATTAGAGTTAGCCTAATAATGTCTGGAGTTTTACGTCCCGGAAGTACGATATTATCACGAGATATGCCGTAGTGGAGAGTTGCGGAAAATTTGACCATCTAGCGTTCTCTAAAGAGCACTGACATCGCGCAATATACGGGTATCTACCAATTCACCTCCACTCAAATGTGGGCAGTATGGCCGCCATGAAACCCCTTCAGGTTGGCATCCGATTACCATAGCCACTGTCCCACCGAAGAGGACAAGCGTTAACTTAAATCGATAAGTAAAATATGATGTGCAACTCTTGTAGATGAGAAACAGTGCGGTTCGGTACGTATACCTGGGGGACAAATGTCTTCGTCAGTAAAAATACTTCTGTGGAGGTTTTTGCTGCCGCATTAGTTACGTGATTCAATTAGCTAACGTGACGACCGAGAGCAGGAACGATGAAGAGCTGTAGCAAAAACTTAAACGTAGAGGATAACAAAAGAAGCACAATAAAAAGTGCAGGTTTTTCTAACTTAACCTATGCCTTTTTACTTCAGTGTAAACGTCGTGTTGTCTATTACATCTTGTCCAACAAGTGATATTACATAGGCAGAGGCGTGCGAAGGTTTTCATAATTAGGAGCAGCGAGCAAATTGAATTGCTGCCTCTTCTACCACTATTGCAATGGCCAAACGCGAAGAGAAAACAAGCTTCGCAATGCGCACAAAATTTCAAATGAGGCGGTGACGTCCTCGACCCCGGTTATAGCACCTGGAGATATATGTGCGCGGCGGTATCTCTCGGTAGAAACAACGGTGTCCTGCCTTGAGTGAACAAGTAACAGGCTGGAAAAATTATACGCTTTGCGAAAATCTAGTTATCAAAGAACATTCTGGGTTTTGTAGTAGAGACACCACTATGACTCTTCGGTATAACTGCAGTCGCTCACAACAAAGCAGTGCGGTTTCCCAGAAGAGTCGAACAGCGCCCTAAAGAAACAGATGGGGACCAACAGTGAGGGGTTAGGCACTCTGAAAAGCCGAGTGGCCTGTATAATCACACTAATATTTTAACAGCATATTCAAGTTGCTCCTTGCTTTGGGAACCCGAAAATCATTTCTTAAACCTAGATTTTTTCACCAGATGCAATTTTTTTCGCCTAGCCAGGCCACCTTCGTCACTGAAGAAGGGGGGCGCTATGTGTACATGTCTATCAATCCTGGTCATTGAACTCCGCGTCTCATATCTCGCAACTTGTGTGACATATATGCACAACTCTTCAAGCACTTTTGAGCTGAAAGCTTACGTAGAAGCTTGAACCCTATCAAACATACCTGGGCGACAAGAATGGTGATCTCCATCTCGGCGACTCTCCTGCCTATGCACATTCTCGGCCCAATGCTGAACGGGAGAGAGGCGAATGGGTGTAGCTGCCAAGAGCCATCACTTGTCTTCTGCGAAATGTCGTCGCTCGACCGTAGCCACCTTTCAGGTAGGAATTCGGACGCCCGAGTAAAGTTCTCCTCTAGTCTTCCAGCTACAAATGGCTCAGTGCGTAATACTGTCTGAAAAATGATATTTAGGCTGTTACAATCGCCATCAGTTGAATACATTTCGCTTTTGTTAGCCACTGTGACCTAATTGCTTAAAAACAAGTACCAAAGTATGTGAGAGTACCCGGTAACGTAATTGTGTGGCTCGTTATGCAGCACTGAATGAAGCTTGAGAAGAACGTATCTAAGCCGAGTAGATACTCAACTCGTCACCTGTGGTGACTGATGGCAGAAATTTGGGTTATTTTTTCATAACCTTCGGCCTACAGATTGTAAGGAGAACACAATGTAAGGAAATATATCATTCAGACATTTGCTGTCTTAACTACGGTGAAAACAGACCAACGGAAAATTGAAACGTATGCAAATGCATTGAACGTTAAAGCCATAGGAAGTCAGGAGCAGGTATTCGCCTGCCCCTCAGCGAAGCTCATGTTCATTGGTAAACGCGTATTGGCGTTTAATGCATGCAGTCTGCCCGGCGTTGCCTTGAAGGCTTGATCACGCAATCACATATACATGTGTATATGTATATATGCATATACATATAGAATTGCATGAATACAAAGCGCAAAGTTTGTGCGTATTACAAAAAATGTTTACAAAAGACGATTGTCAGCGTTTTAAATGTTGTTTCAACGCGAAAATGTCTCTGGAAAATCACACTTTATCGGTGCTTCAAAGACGTGGTGCAAGCTTAAAAACGCGAATAACGATGATCAGTCTTTGTTCTCGTTTTTAAGCTTGCCCCACGTCTTTGAAGTAACGATGCACCAACTTTGCCCAACATTGCGTACTGCTAAGCTTATCGGATAAATCTGGACTATAAAAAATTACCGACGTGTGTATATCAGAGATCAATAAAATTATCTAGAAACACCAAGTCCTATTCTTAACGAAGGACAACGACACCAAAACCAGAATTTATGCAAAAGGAGCTTTTTCCCGCTATTGCGTAGTAATTGCCACTATAAGCGTGCGTATTACGACAATCATCGTACAAAGTTCCTTCTAAGATTGACGCACTGCCTGCTTTTTGTGGGACTCTGCCACTTATTCGTAATCAGGACATTCGACAGAGCCAGACAGTTCTTTGTAACCGGGATTTTGAAAAGCGAACCTAGTCCTAGCTTGTAGTAAACCATCAGTTGTGATCCAAACAGTATCAAAGCCAAGAACAGGTATTTGCCACAGAAATTGACCAAGTCCTACTAATCACCATCGGTCTATTACAAATGGAAACAGATGAGTGGCAGCCGTCAACTACTTCCTCACGAGGCATAGGGATTCCTACACCCGCATACATACGGCGCGAAAGGAATGTCTTAACACTCCACTATTCAGGACCACTGACAGTACCGCATAGAGGAGTGGCTTTTAACAGAGCAAGAAATCATTTAGTTCATCGCTGTAATTAACTGTCACTGTCATAAGAGGAAGACAGTCACGGCACTGTACTTCTTTCTACGTGTAGTATCACACAGTGAGGGTGTATGCGAGAAATGCTAGAGTGAGGAAGAGAGAAAGAAGGGAATGAAGAAAAGCATAGTATATAAAGATTAAGAAATAAATAGAGCAAGACAAAGGAGAGAATAAAACTAGACTTCAAAGAAAGACAGAAAGAACATAGAAACAGGAGGTAAGCGAGAAATAGAGGAATAGTGATACAAAGAAAGGAAAGAAAAATTGAAGGAGAATAAAAAAAGGCAGAGAGAAAAAATAGAAAAAGCAGACAAAAATGACTAAGAAAACAAAGCATAGGGAAAAGGAGAAAATCGAGAAACAAAGAGAGAGTGAAAGAGTAACAAAAAATTACAATATTTTCCCCTAAAGGGAAGCATGTGTAGATGTGAAGCAGCTGGTGCTAACGCTTACACTGCCGATGACATTGACGCCGGCTCCCATCGTGGTGTCGCGGAGGTGCGAGACCTAGGGTGGCCTGAAGTACGAAGTGACAGGCCGGTTTTTTCTACTGAAACATGCCAATTGCTGCTAATGGGCAATGATGGACAAAAGACTCCGATTGCACAGAAGCCCCATCGCTGCCCGCTTTTAGTTAACGCGCTCGCGCTGAATTTTGAATGCTTGACAATGCAAAGGAGGAACCTCCTACCGGCACTACCTTGGAGTTCAAGATTAAGTGCCTATAAATATGGGATGGCCCGTGAAAGGCTTGGCAGCGTGAGTGGGCATTTTGTTTTCCTTCAATCAGGAAACTGACTCCCTGACGCTGCCTGCGTCGGCGTTGCGATGCGAAAGAGAGAAGAAGCTTAGGAGAGGACAAAGAGGAATAAAAAACGCGCATGCGCAGTGGGGGTGCGAACACTGTCGGGAAGAGTGCTTAGAGGAGAGAAACAGAGGCGAGGGCATGTTAGCAGGCGCTTCCTGCTTCGACACTGCGAGGCGAGAGAGGGAAACCTTAGAATAGGAGAGAAGGGGAGCGGACGCGCATGTGCAGCAAGGGCGGTCACGCCGCAGACGGTATTGAGCTTGATCTTAAGATGATTCGCATCTAAAATGGCCGCCCAAACCCACATTTCCTTCTTACTTGAGTCTGACACTGACACTCTCTTGGTGATTGACTAAAAATTCTGGACGTTCCCACCACGTCTTGCAAAGCTTGGCGCAACCAAGATGGTAGATTCTCAACCTAAACCTAGTTGCGACATATTTAAACCAAGCAAGAATCATTTACTCCCAGCAGCAACAAGCATTACCATGAAAACCTAAGGACTGACCAGCCTCGATATCAAGATGTTTGTGGGGATAGTGCAAACTTCGCTATTTATTTTTTGTTGTTTCACCGAAATTGACTAAGGGCGAACACATATTATAGATGGCGCCTCCAGTCTCCTGCTAATGAAATCTTCTTTTATAGAAAGTAAATGAAGTCGCAAATTTTTGTGCCTGACCAGAATTGTTACTGAAAATAACCGGGACTTATTCCTAGTCAGAAAAAAATATACGCCATAAAAGAGTGACGAGCAAAATAAAATTGAGGACTGCAGAATTTGTATTGTCACGCTTTCTTTCTTTGCGCCTGGACCATGTTCGTGTAAAAAATTAACCTCTACTGTGACAAATGCACTATTTGCCGTGCCGTTATTTATACTTACATTAGCGGGTATGAGGTAACCTGACATTACGACATCATGGTTGATTTTCCTGTTCACTCCTGGTACGATGGGGTGAAACCTAAAAACAAAACAAAACGCAAAAGTGATTTGCATAATACTCAATAATAAAAAAAAGTGTCCGTTCAGTTTCACAAAAAAATATTCTAAGTTAGGTGGCCTAAACATGGTGTATTTTGAAGTTAAACTGTTTGCTATACAACTTGTTGTGGCTGTTAGGAAGATATACTCATAACTTTGATGAAGGTTGCGAAAGTGTAAGCGAGCGTACCAATCGGTGTACATAATGGTCAACATGCAGAACTTGCCGCAACCTTAGGAGTTAGGATTTACCAGGAACGCCACCTCAGCCGATTTATATGCATTCATATGAAACGCTGTGGCAGATCTCATCGACGACGTAACAAATAATTATCGCCTACATGGTACCATATATATAGCCCACTCGCCTTACCGGTACCATATAGGGTACCATATAGGGTACCTAGTATATATAGCCGACTCCCCTTACGTCGTGGAGCTACTCAATTTCACTAAATACTATGCCTCCAGTTACATATCGTACGTTTCTTACCCCATATTTTCGCCATCTAATACACCCTGCGATATATATCTTGCCTTCATTCGTTTTCTGCTAACAAAGGAATGAGAGAGTGAGTCAAACAAGCTTATTTTTTATCCGGCGTAAAGGGGGAAGAGAGAGGAAAATTAAAGGAAGACTCTAGCATGCTTGGACGTCCCGGAGCAGCATCGTGCTCGCATGAAGCCACTGGCTAATCAAACAAAGGGCTAATCTAGATCGTATAATGTAGACCACTACCCACCTCTCTACACATTAAAAGTAAAAATAGTGGGAGTCTGCTATGTGCAGCTCGGTGCCAGAGGTCCAGGGCCAGATGCTGAATTGGACCAAGAGGGTAGCGAAGACCTACGTTTGGTAGGCTCCTCTGCTGGTTCCACCACCCCACCTTTCCCTCCTAAAATAAATGAAGTTTTACCCTTCTCCTCCTTATCTATCAACGATCGTCTCTAGTTGTTCTTTGAGGTGATTTCTTTGCGTATAGTAACTATTCACTTGAACGGTAAGTTCGCCAATGAGTGTCATTACTTCCCTCACACTTGATAGACGAAGAAAGTTCCTCTGTCGGTATTGGCCGTAAACGGACCACTATGTCGTTGTTACATAGTATACTTAGTACTGCCACGGCCGTGGTAATGCGCAGACTATCGAGAGTCTCCAACGTGCGACGATTTCATGGAAAGTTATGCCTGCAAACTCTGCGATGATCGACGCTTGTTCGGTTGTAATGTGCGTTGATTGAGATGAATCGTTCAATTTTTCAGCTTCCACTCTATATTTCTGCAGTATTTTCTCTTTTCGTGAGTGCGTGTGATGTGGCAAGTGTGAAGCCCGGTAGGAAGGAGAAGAAGCTGAACCTTGCCGAGAGTTCGGAGAGAGGCTCGTTGAGGTGCGGAGCGTCTTACGCTAGTTCCTATGTGGAGGGGGCATGAAAGCAACGACGCCTCACCAAAGAAGAGAAGAGGGCATGTCATGGAGAGCAGCCACATTTGCGATGATGCTCGCTTTCCAGCGCAGCCACCCTTGTAATACGCTCTTGGGTGAGCGATCGAGTGGAAGGTGCCATGGTTGCACCAAGATGCTACCATAGAATTACAGCGTGGTCGCTACAGCTCATTGGTCATCGTACGAAACCACCAAATCTTAATGGGAAGAACAAAAAATGCTAAGTGTGTACTGCCAAGACTTAAGGGGGAAATGTAATGCCTCACGAATGACGCTACAGCCATCGCTATGGTACAATAAAGTCCTGTAACTACCACAGAGCTAACGTAGAGCCCCAATTACAGGATAGAAATGAACTAACAACAAAAAGAAACCTAGAAAAGGCAAGGATTGCAAAACAGAGAAATGCCTTAGCCTGGTGAAATGGCACATAAACTTCCCTATTTCAACAAGAGAGAGAAACGAGAAAAATAGGAAGGCAGGAAGGTTAACCAGATGCTAGTATCCGGTATGCTACCCTACACTGGGGTTAGGGAATAGGGGATTGAAAGAGAAAGGGAGAGTTAAAAATAAATAAGAGAAAAACACCGAAACACAAGCACACACAAAATCAGTCCACTCAGAGGCGTTCCGACAGGCCAGTAGTTCGCAAGAAGCCCAGTATCGCTTGCACCGCTTTCTTCTGTGACGATGAGTCATGACAATGGCGCAGTATACTTTCTTCTGACAGCGGCTGGTCATCTAACCTGTTTAGTATATTATAAAGCTGTTGTCTTTCCAGGTTGTATTTCGGGCAGTCACAAAGGATATGCCGAATGGTTTCTTCATTTCCGCAGTGTGCACAGTCGGCGGTGTCAGCCATACCTATGCGGAACGCGTACGCACGGGTAAACGCGACTTCCAACCATAGTCTGCACAGAGCAGTAGCGTCACCTCGTCGAATTTTCGTTGGAAGCTGTATGCTTAACGTTAGATCAAGGGATTGTAATCTTGCATGTGTAAAGAGAGGCTCATTCCAAAAAGCCAAGGAGCGTTGGCGAGCGAGCATGCGGAGCCTCCTAGCAGCATCCATCCTTGAGAGAGGTATTGACTGGTTGTTGTCTTCTGTATGGACTGAACGGGCAGCTTGATCAGCTCGTTCGTTACCGATAATGCCACAGTGGCTTGGCAACCACTGAAATATAACGTGGTGCCCTTTTTCTGTTATATGGTGTAGCATTTCTGCTGTTTCGAATACCAACTGCTCGTGTGGACCATGGCGTAGATTTGACAGAAGTGACTGCAGTGCCGCCTAGCGGTCGCAGAAAATCGTCCACCATTGCGTGCTTTGGTCGTTAATGAAACGCAGCGCAGCACGAAGCGCTGCAAGCTCTGCTGCCGTTGTTGTGGTTGTATGAGCTATCCTGAATTTGATGGTTGTGGCGTGCGTTGGAATAACGACCGCCGCAGTTGAGCTGTTTGGCAGAACGGAGCCATCGGTGTAGACGTGGGTGCAGTCTTGGTACTTCTCGTACAGCAGAAGTAAGGCGAGCTGCTTGAGGGCTGGTACTGAGAACCTCGTTTCTTCTAGTTGCCTGGTATTGTCAGCTTGATGACTGGCTGTTTGAGGCAACAGGGAGGAACTGAAGGTCTCGCCGCGGGCGTAAAACCAGTTGGTAGAGAGTCACCATGTGCAGTTATTGTTCGACAAAAGGAAGTATGAGGTCTATCCGCTTTTAGAGAGGCTAGGTGGTGATGGGGAGTCCGGCCCACATGCCTTATGTGTGTCCTCAAAGCGTCAATTTCAATATGGGTCTGCACGAGGTGGTCTTTGGCTATAGCTATAGTCGCCATTGTTGAGGCACCCTGAGGCAGACCTAGACATATTCGAAGCGCCTGTGCCTGAACGCGTTGTATCATGCGTCGATTTGTTTTGCTGGCGTTTGATAATGCAGGCAGACTGTATCGTAAAAAGCTGAAGAAAAGCACCCTGTACAGTCGTAACATAGCATTAGGCTGCATTACCCAAGTCTTTCCAGCAAGACACTTGAAAAGATGGCATATGCCTGTCAATCGCTTTTTCAAATACAACACATGAGGGCTCCATGATATGTCTCTGTCGACTATTACACCCAGAAATTTGTGAGATCGACGATATGGTATATTTTGACTGTTAATTGACACTCTGTAATTCGACATGAGTTTGCGCGCAAATGCCAGAAGAGCGAACTTTCCGGAGGAAATTTTCAGGCCTCGATTGCGTAGATACAAAGCAGTTGCAGTAGCAGCTCTCTGTAATCTCGCTCGTAACTGCAGGCGAGTTACCGCAGATGTCCAGATGCAGATGTCATCAGCGTATGTTGATAGATAAATATTGTTTGGTAAGTGTGTATGGAGAGCGATTAGTGTTATTTTGAATAGCACGGGGCTCTGTACACCACCCTGAGGGACGCCGCGACAACTGAAATGTGCAGATGTGTTTCCGGTCTCTGTACTCACAAAATAGGATCGCATTTGGAGATAACTGCGTATCCTACTTAAACATTCGTCCACCCACTCCAATCTCGTCTAGTGCGGTAAGGACGGCTTCATGTGTAACGTTATCATAGGCTCCTTTGACGTCAAGGAACAGAGAGGCGCAAAGACGCTTATGGCCTTTCTCGTGTTCAACGTACGTGATTAGGTCGATGACGCTATCGATCCATGATCGACCACGCCGAAAGCCAGCCATGGCATTTGGGTAGATCTCATGATACTCCAAGTGCCACTCGAGTCGGCCGAGAATCATTCTCTCCATCACTTTACCCACGCAACTTGCCAGTGCGATCGGGCGATAGGAGGAGAGTTCCAATGGTGATTTGCCAGGTTTTAGCAGTGGTACTAGACGACTAGTTTTCCAACTTAAGGGGAAAGTGCCCTCTAGCCAACAATCATTAAATAGCTGAAGTAGAGCTATTCTCGCGCGCTCACCCAGATGACACAGGGCTCCGTAGATTCCTTCAGGTCCTGGTGCGGAGGTACGTTTGCATGAAGCGAGTGCTGCCTTGAGTTCCTGAATGGTGAACGGGAAGTCCATACAGAAATCACGTGGTGGCGGACAACTGCTCGAAAGTGGTGAGCTGCTAAGTGCTGTAGTTTGCCCTGATATTCCGGCACAGAAATCTTTAGCAAGGTCCACATCTGGTCGATTTTGGTGAAGGGCTAAGGCCTTGAATGGTGACTTCTGAATGGGGGATGACCGCAAACTTCTAACCGTCCTCCATATCTGCGATAAAGGTTTACGAGGGTCGAGTGACTCGCAGAAAGTAATCCAGCGTTGTAATTCTAGCTTGTCCAACCGACGTTTGATCTCCTTCTGCATACGTCTACCAGTCCGTAAATCTTCTATGTCCTTCGTGCGCCGGTATACCTTCTTTCAGCTTATCGTCGGAAGGCTCGAAGCCGCTCCAGCTTAATGTCGATGTCCATGATTCTTACAGGGCATAGGATCGTACACACAGTCTCGTTTACAGGCTCACACAGGCTCTTGATGGCCTCTTGTAAATCGGATATGTGTTCTTGGCATTGGTCTTCCGTAAGAGACTGAAATTTTTTCCAGTCTACTCTTTTAACCATGTCGCGCACTTTAGGAGGCGACAATCCTCTGATCTTGACGTATGTTGGAATGTGATCACTCCCATGCGTTTCTATATGCGTGAACCATTCAGTGTGTTTATGCGTGAACCATTCAGTGTGTTTCACTAGGCTTCGCGAAACAAAAGCCAAGTCGAGACAGCTACTGTATGTAGAGCCACGTAAAAATGTAGGACTGTCATCGTTCGGTAACAAAAGTTTTTTGTCGGAGGCAAAAGACTCAAAGTTTCTGTCCTTCATGTTGGTATTCTGACTTCCCCATAATGTATGGTGAGCGTTAAAATCCCCAATGATAACACACGGGTCAGGAGTAAACGCTATGATGTCTCTCTTTTTTTTATCGAAACGGCTTGATAGTTATAGGTATGCGCCAACCACAGTGATGTTGAGCCTCCTCTTTTTCACTCTTAAGCATACGTATTGGTTTACGTCATGAGGTGGTACAGGTTGAAGGATGTAAGTGAGGTCTCGGCAAATGTACACCAAAACCTTGCTGCCTTCAGTAACAGTAGACGACATAAAAAAGGTTCGAATCCCGAGAGTTGTATTTCACTCGATAATTTCGGCTCACAGATGACAATTACGGGAAACATCTTGACGTACACAAATCCATGAAAGTCACCAATGCGCGATCTCAGTCCCCTGGCATTCCACTGCAGTATTTCTGCTTTACGAACCTCATCCCTGAAAGACAATGGTGGGTTAGCCATGGTCTACTCTAGGGCTGCTCGCACTGGACTGAGCGCGTCCAGTACTTGAAGGGCACCTTTGGCTGACGGTGTATTCATGTCGCTTAGCAACACGCGAATGGTGTCCACTAATGATCTTAGCATCACCATGACGCGATGATCTGGCTTCTCGGCCATTGCAGCATCTTGTGCTTGTTCTTGAGGCGGCTTTTGTTGAGGCTCAACAGGTCGTGTAGGCGGCTTCTGTTTAGGCTGAACAGATCTTCTAGACTGAAGGGGTGGCCATTTCTTTGGAGAGAAAGATCTCCCAGCATCTTCTCTTTCAGCGCAGAGGTTTGCCGTGCTAGGAGCCGCACCTGTCGATTTCACTTGAGTTTCTGACTTTCTCGTCAGATATCGCACTGTTCTTTGTGAGGACCTTCAACGATGCCAGCGCCTTCGCCTTGCTTCTTGCGCAGCTTCTCTGTGAGTCGAGTTGTCTCGCACCATTTGCATCAGAATATAAATCTCTTTCTTAATCTGAGGACAGTCCTTGGAGGAAGCACTGTGAACTCCTTGGCAGTTGGGGCATTTCAACGTAGTTGCATTACAGTCGTCGTCTGAGTGGTGTTCAGCGCATCGAGGGGCACACTGTGGAATTTCTGCAAACGCTCTTCACATGGCCAATCTTCTGGCACTTAAAACACTGCATAGGCTTCGGAATAAATGGGCGAACCTGATGACGGAAATGGCCAACTTTCACGTGAGAGGAAAGACAGTCACCCTTGAATGTTATTCGCACACAACGAGAGTTGCCTAGGTCACCAGCATGCACAATGACGTTGTTTTCACTCACTGGTTTTATCAGTACAGGAAAATCTTCAGTGGCGATTTCAGTGTCTATGTCATAGATAACTCCTGTTACGGTGTCACCATTCGCTGGTATGATGGATCGGACTTTGATATTTCTCAGCTCCGACACATGCTGTAGCGTGTTCAGTGCACTCGTGTTCCTCACGTCGATTGCCAAAATATTCTTCCTCGTGTTTACCTTGATGTCCTTAATCTCGTTAGGCACAATGTTTTCAAGATACAAGGACAGTGCTTGCCTGTTGAGGATGCGTATATTGGCAGTAGTAGTCTGCGGCACAAACAGAATGGAGTGAGGCCATCGCTGAGGCGCTGTCCTCACAGTGGCTGTACTTGATGCCGATGATGTGTTCATGATTCTTCGTTTGGCCATGCAGTAGAGCACAGGTTCGAAGCCGTCTTCCGAGGACTCGTAGTCTGATGCAGAGTACAGCTCGGTGTCCTCGCTCTCACTAGATGCATTGCCACGCTTTCTTGAAGCAATGCCCATGGATGAATTGGTACTGGGCGGGATCTCCCGGGATTGTACATCCATCACCGCGGTGTAGGGGGCTGGAGACTGCGCTGTTGCGCTGTGGAACGCAGAAAATACAGCACAGATAACAAGATGTGTTCCACAAGAGAATCACTTCGTCTTCCTTCACAATGCTTTCCTATTTCAACAACGTCAATAGAGTGGTGCCGGCTTAGCTTGCCTAAGTTCACACCCACCTCATTGCTTCTTTGATGCAGGCTCTGACGTAATGTAGTTGATCATGAATATGTGCGGGGAACGTCCCAGGGCAGTCCTTTGTGGCAGCGAGAACTTCTTGCCGTGCTTTCTCTTGGGCTTCTAGGTTCATTGCTAATCGATATAAAGTGTAGGTGGCCGCACCAGACGTCTGCAATCAAGAATATAGAAAATAAGCTACTGTTAACCGTATTCAACAGAACTTACTTAGGTAATTACTCATTGGCGCCAAACGTCCCACCCATTTCGACGAGTATCTCAAATGTTTTAGACAAAAATCTTGCTAGTTTACTGCATTGAGAACAGTAAACTGCTAGAATATTTGGAACAGAAAAAGAAGTCTTTGGTTACGTGGGTTCCTTATTACCTTCCCGAAATGTCATCTGTGTGCTGTTCGTGAGAAAAGAACTATTTCAACAGTACCATTTTTTATTTGCATAGCAAATTTGGTTTACATGTTAAGTAAAGGTGTTTTGTAAGGTTTTTGCGGCTGAGTGATACTTATGCAGTTGTTTCGCCACATGCACCTTGATGAATTTAGACAAAATGTTTTATTTTATCAGTTTTTCTATTTTATTACTGCACTTTGGATGCATATTTTAGAAATGAATGCTTATTTGAAGATAAGGCATATATTGCTAAAATATTTTAGACCTGTCAAGGTTCTAAACTTTAGAAGATAAATTTCATAAATTTTACAAAAACACCATATTTGTTCTTAGTGAGACGCAATTCGCACGATATGTTGGTCCAGTTCGAAGGTAGCTTTACACCAAACACGGAAATAAATGAACAGTTGTTTTTACGTGGCTTGTTTTTTCATTACAGTTTTTGTTTTGGGAAATTAAATAATTTTTAAGTTTCTTATTTCCTATTTTCTATTTTTTGAAGTTTCCTATATTCAACGCGGTAGCTAGTATATGAACAAATGGTAAGATAACCGAAAATGTAAAGCTTCGAAAATTGTTTTCTTCTTCACTCCTCGGCCTGCCAACCATTTCGTTTTCATACAAGAACAACATAGGCAAGTGTTGCTTTTTCTGTATATCAGTGGTTATCAGTAATGAATTTTTCATGGACTTCTTGTATATCAAAAGAAGTGATGGGGGATGTATGTAAAAGAAAAAAAGAGGGGTTTTTACAAACACAAGATGCAGCGTGAGATCCGTGCCTTTTGTTCATTCATGGCAAGAAATGGTGACACAAAAGATTCTCGTGAATTCTATCTCAACAGCTAGTCAATAAGGTGTTTTGTCTAGCTACATTCAACCTGTTTCTAGCTACGTTTGCGTTTCATATATGCTAGCATAAATAAAGCATACCCTCGTGCATATGTCATAGACAACCGACAAGAATTCAACAACCATTTCATAAAGTTTGACGTTCTGTCAGCTCTGCCACAATGCATAAACGTAATGCTACGAAGCTTACCGAGAAATTCAAAAGGGCCATTGTTACGGGACAGCGAACATAGTGAATCAAAAAAATGTTGCGGAACTAAGTGAATCCAGTTTTGAGAACAGCTGCTGAAAATCGGTCTATGTGATACAACACGCTATATTGACGTTTACGTGCGTTTTGTGCAAAAGTTCATACTATGGTAGCAGGTTTGTCCGATTCATTGCATATTTAGGTTTGTGAGCAGCGCTCGGTCGAGCATTGTTCAATTTTTGTCTCAGTTTCATGTAGAAGGTTGTGTGAAATACAGCTTTTATAATAGTAGTCATTTTTATTTCAACACAAGGTTGCAAATATCATGTTGTCATGCACACCTTCTATTGCTTTTTCTGTGTAACCACTTCCTGGCAGAAGCTACACCCTTTTGTCTCTCTGCCTTCAAGATTATTTCATAGTCTCTTTGGATAAGCACAGAGCACAACGGGAACAGTGGTGTTTCTTTAACAAATCTGGCTACTAATGATAACGGTGGAATCTACGATGTCACGAGTGTGAAAATGCAAGGTGCTTTACTGCTGATCCGATCGTTCAACAACTGACAAATGCCTGCGGCGATATCTTTACACATTAAGAAGCCCCTAAACCACCCATCCGTCAAAACTTTGTTGTAATATTGAGTTGTGCACGAGCGGGCGCGTAGCCGTGGGACTGTTTTGAAACGGTGCCGTACTGGCGTCATTACACGCGTTTAATGATCCAAACCTGGAGCTGGCTCGTTTAGCGCTTTGGTTCTCTACCATTGGTTCTTCGGCTCATTTCTCCCAAAATTTGCTTTCCATCCTCGTCGAGTGTTCCCGATCTCGCACGCAATCTCTCTTAACATACCGTCATCTCTGACTGGCCCTTTGAAACAGCGTGTACTGACGGCAGCCGCGACTCTGTCAACTCTGTGCTTCTTGGTTAACTACTGTAGTTGCAACACCAACCCGAGCTTTGGCGGATCGTGCCGGTACGGACACCCTGTTGTGCGCTTGCCTTTGAACGGTCGCCCATATATGGCGACACGCCGTGCAGGAGCACATCCGCTCTATGTGAGGGGTACCCTCGCCACATTCCCCAGATCACGGCCGACGATGCGGCTTGGTAAGTGGGGTGATTTTTGCCCTCTCGTTGCTACTCCCGCCTATGCAGGCGTACGTAAAGGGGTAATAGGGCAGCCCCATTGTAGCCACCCAAAAGGAGAGATGGAGTGCTAAGTCAGCCCTAAACATTGATTTCATGGGGAGGAGAGGCTGCGATGAATCCCCCTCATCCCGAAGGGTAAACCTGCTCACCCTTATGCGTACACCATGCTAAGATCATCATCAGTGCAAGTGAACGTGCCGATTGGCTAACGTGCACACGCAGGCAACACGACGAAGGGCAGCAACAAGTGTGGGCAGCTACTTGCAGACTGACCGTAAGTCGCAAGTCAATGTTGAACCAAAACGCAGCTTCACTTGCTGGCAGCATCACAAATTTTACACGCTTACGTCACGAACTTCACTGGGGAGGCTGGAAGGGCCCGGACAAGAGAAGTGATTATTTCTGAGAATTTGTGGCGCGTTCGCGACTTGTAGCACTGCCGTGTGTGACATCGTCGATCGCAAAGGCATTTTTAACAAGATGCGCGTGTTTATCAAAATGCCTGAAAAGATATCGCAGGTGGTTTGGGGTCTTTTCATGGCCATGATTTTCTGGGCACATGTTTGCACAAATGAAAAAATTCATTTGTAACAGAATAGAAAGTTGGGCGAGTTGGTGTATAGTCATATTAAAAGAAAAGCGGCGCACAAAAAGACGGAGACAAAGAAGAGAACCACACACAGCGCTGATGCAAGTTGTGTGGGGGTCCACATCTCACGGCAGACAAGACGTGTAAGCATCGTTTTCAAGTGCCCTACATAGTCCATCGACGAAGACGAGAGCGACGGATGCAATATACGATGGAATTTGCGGAACAAGACGCCGACGACATGAACTTCACAGATAGTGGAGGAGACTTCCTATCGCTACCAGCCGCTGTAGGCGGCCGCGCTACGACTGAGCGCCCGAGCAGCAGCTGGCGCCCGCGTGACGTCAGCCAACAGCTACAACCACCGCGAGGGCGATCCCGTTCCAGAGGCAGAGCAAGGGGCCGTTCGAGATCCAGAGGACATTCTAGATCCAAGGGACGTTCTAACTCATGGGTGCCTACCGTCCGCAATGGTGTGCAGCAAGGAAATCAGCACCAGACCTGGGCATCCAAGATCAAGGGCTCCCAACCACAGGTAAAGGGGGGTACCAATCCAGAGCAACACTCAGATATATACGCGCAGATTTAAAGGGAAAATGCTAACCTCCGGGCCATTGTCGAGCAACTCAGGGCTGAAATAGCCGACTTAAGGAAATCACAGCAGGTTTCGTCTCCGTCTCCTTCAAACACAGTTCCCTATACAGAGGCCACATCGGATGCGAGTCACGATGAGGTACCCATGGACGTCCATCCAGGGGCAAAACCAACAAAAAGGAGAGCGCTAGCACAACCGGCCAATAACGAGGACAGAGATTTCAAAACAGAGGTCAAGGAAACCTTGAATGATATCAAAATGCTCTCAGGGCGGTGGTCGAGTCGATTGCGGTATAGGACAGCAGAGTCACAGATCGAGGCTGACCAAGTTAAGCTTTACAATCAGCCGAGGCTACTCCAGCCCAAGTAATACCTAAGGTCAGGATCGTGCAGAAGGTGGCAAACCCGTAGCGTCTCTCAGGAGAGAGTTTGAGGGTCCCAACAATGGCGGGACACCTTAAAAATTTCGTTATTTGGCAGTGGAACTGCTGGGGCTTCCAATCAAAGAAGGCAGCTCTCCAGCAGTATATTAAATCCCAGCCAATTCGACCACATGTTATTATGCTGCAGGAGGACGCTTACGGAAACAATGAGCCTGCCAGGCTACACCCCAGCACATCGAGAAACCTCCAGATGGCCGCGGTATCTGCACGTTTGTGTCCAAGAAGTGCACTTACATTGAACACAATTTCACATGGCAAATAGCAAGATGAACACTCTCTTTTAGAAATTATACCTGGCAGCAACCTTAAAATAGCATTTTCATACTCCACATATATAGCTCTCCAAAAGGCAGGCACCATCGCTTCACCTCATTGTTATCAAAAGCCGTTACGATCGCTAGGAAAGTGGACGCACCCATAGTTATAGTGGCAGATTTCAACACACCCCATCAAGCTTGGGGCTACCCTCGCACCGCTGCCAAGGGAGCCGAGCTCTGGCAAGCGGTATCGGATCTGAATCTTACTTTGGTCACTTACCCCACGTTTCCTACCCGCACTGGAAATTCTTGCTCTAGGGATACTACCCCAGACCTCACCTTTGTCACAACCATGGGGGAGGTATCATGGTTAAACTTAGGAGAAAACTTGGGGAGTGACCATTGTATTTTGAGTACGACATTACAAATTCAAGCAAAGCCCCCCAAAGCTTTCAAATTCACAGATTGGGACCTCTTCCGTAAGATCAGAGCGAAGAGCGCAGAAGAGATTAATGACTCACCGAATTTCGACAAGTGGCTGTCTCAGCTGGTCGAAGACGTCAAGTCGGCCACCAAAACAATAGAGACTGATCTACCGGTCAATAAAATGGATAGTAGGCTTGCTCATCTTCTTGAGGCTAAAAGCGCCCTCCTAGCCAGGTGGAAAGCACACCATATGAATCGA